TGGTGCAGCCACTGTGGAGAACAGTATGGAGTTTCCTCAAAAAACTAAAAATGGAACTCCCATTTGACCCAGTAATCCCACTTCTATTATAGGAATACATCCCAAGGAACTACAATAGAAACACCATATATCATAAAGGATATATGCACCTCTATGTTCATAGCAGCACAATTTACAACAGCTGAGATTGCTTTTTTTAAAGAGATTATTTTCATGTTCGTTTAGAACAGTATATGACCATAGTTCCATTAATGCATAATCAAGAAGAACAGTACACTACTATCTATTCATTCTATCTATCTATTCGTCCATCCATCCATATGTTCATCTATTTTTTTATGTTTATGTTAAACTAGGGGCCCAGTGCACAAAATTCACACATGGGTTAGGGGGGTCCCTCAGCCCAGCCCGCCCCTCTCACAGACTGGGAGCCATCCTGCGGGAGGTGACCAGGCTGATCTGGGAAAGGCGCCAACCCCATCACCCTACTGCTGCAGCCACTGCCAGTCACCACAACTGCCAAGGTGTTTTCATCAACGTGGGCTCCAGTCCCTTCACCAAGAAAAAATGACAACTCTCTTTAGGCATTTTCAAGATGTGTCTTTCATAGGCTATGCCATTTCTTTCTTTCTTTTTTTTTTTTAATCTTTCTTTTTTTATTTTTCATTGATTTTTATAGAGCTTGGAAGAGAGAGGGAAAAACAGAGAGAAACATCAATGTGAGAGGGACACTGATTGGATGCCTCCTGCATGAACCCTGACCTGGACCCCAGCCAGGGAGGAGCCTAAAACCTAAGTACATTCCCTTGATCAGAATCAAACCCAGACCCTGTGGTCAGCAAGCCAAGGCATTATCCACTGAGCCAAACCCCCTAGAGCAGGATATGACATTTCTTAGCCCCTCCAGCAGTGTTCCTTCATTTTTTCCTCCAGGAGTGAAGTGAGAAAAACCTTAGATCACCTTTTTGGATTCTTATTACCCAAGTTACCAAGAACATTACCAGTGGCGTACAGGGAGCTTAGCCAATGAGCAGTCAGAAAAGGTGTTTCCTCTTCAGCTCATGGGCAGAGGCAGGACTACTGGCAAGCCGAGGCTGGCACCCCCGCCCCCTTGCCAGCTCAAGCCTCCCCTGAGGCTTGGGTAGGGCCCCCTTCTCCGATCAATCCTCTGCTGTGGCTTGGGCAGAACCCCCTGGCTCTGCTCAGGCCCTGTTCAAACCTCTGCCACCCTGCCCTGGTGCATCTGTGCTAAGGCCCATAGACTAGGAGTGGCCAGGAGTGTTCTGGAGCCCTGACAACTCAGAGCCTATGCGTGGGCCTACAGGCTCAGAGCAGCTTGGTCCCAAGGATGTCCCCAGGACCCAGGCTGCTGGGTACCTACATATGCAAATTACCTACCATCTTTGTTGGGTTAATTTGCATGCACACTCCTGATTGGCTGGTGAGCCTAGCAGATTGTACACTGGGGGAGGGAGGGTGCAGAGGAGGGGTTTCCCAGTCTGGCCTGTGTCTTCTTCAGTATGGGACCCCTCAGGGTATGTCCACCTAAGCCAGCAGGTGGACATCCCCCAGGGGTCCTTAGCACTGCCCTAGAAGTGGGAAAGGCTCCCACCATCACTGCTGTGCATGCCAGCTGTGAGCCCAGCTTTTGGCTGCATGGTGCTCCCAATGTGGGAGCACACTGACCACCAGGGGGTAACTCCTGTATTGAGCACCTGTCCCCTGGTAGTCAATGAATGTCATAGCAACTGTTCCTTCGGCCGTTTGGTCAATTTGCATATTAGGGTTTTATTATATAAGATATTGTATAAACTCTAATTACATGTGAAAGATTTTACATGTCTGATGACTTTTTTTTTTTTTTTTTTACAAATTTCTGCTTTATTCCATCTCGTTGGTGACAGTATCCATCGCCACTCCTAAGAGACAGGAAAAGCACAGCTGCATGTATGTTACTTGTATTTACCTGGAGTGTTGCAAGCATGAGATTTGCAATGGCAGACACTAGGAAGAAAATAGGCAAATCATATAAAAATATGCCTTGAGAGCTAGCTGAGAAACCACTAACTTATAGGAAGATGGGGAAGCCTTTACAGAAGAGGCGATCTTTCTCAGAGATCGAAGGTTAAAAGTTCTTCGGCAGAGGACAAAAAGGGCTTGGTATTTTCCAAAAGTACTCAGAGGACCCAGGAGATGCAGAAGATAATGAAATCAATATTGTAAGTAAGACCAGATGTGAACTGACTTTTAGATGCAAACATAACATGCTTGGATTTTTATGCAGCAAATGAGTCAAAGTTTTTAAGCTGGGTAGCAAAACATAATCAGATTGAAATGCCTGGTCCCCCTAACTACCCTCCCCTGCAGTCCTGGTCCCCCCTCCAACTGTCCTCAACTGCAGACCTAGTCCCCCCAACTGCCCTTCCCTGCAGTCCTGATCCCCCCCTCCAACTGCTCTCCACTGCAGGCCTGATCCCCCCAACTGCCCTCCCCTGCAGTCCTGGTGCTCCCTCCAACTGCCCTCCACTATAGGCCTGGTCCCCCTCAACTGCCTCCCCTGCAAGGCTGGGTTCCCTTCCTCCCCCCCACCCACCAACTGCCCTCCCCTGCAATCCTGGTCCCCCCTCCAACTGCCCTACCCTGCAGGCCTGATCTCCCCCCCCCCCCCCACACACACACACACACACAACTTTTCTCCCCTGCAGGCCTGGCCCCTCCCTCAAATGCCCTACCTACAGTCCTGATAACCCCCGACTGCCCCTGCTGACCTGGCCTCCCCCAATTGCCTCCTCTGCTGGCCCAGCCATCCCTAACTACCCTCTCAGCTTGCCTGATTGCCCACAACTGCCCTTCCCTGTAGGCTTGGCCCCCCACAACAGCTCTATCCTGCAAGCCCAGTACCTCCCAACTGCCCTTTCCTGCTGACTTGTCCCTCCCAACTTCCCTCCCCTGCATGCCTGGGTCCCCTCCCCACTACCCCCAACTGACCTCCCTTGTTGGCCTGGTTTCCCCCAACTGCCCTCCACTGCCAGCCTGATCACTCTAATTGGCTTCCCCTGCCAGTCTGGTCACACCTAACTGTCCTCCCCTGCAGGGCTGGTTGCCCCCAATCATTGAATAAAACAACACATTTAAAGCATTTAGCCCCGAGCTTGGTCTACAATAAGTTTCAGTAGATAATAGTGTTATTTTTATGTTCATGACTTTTTTTCTCTTCATTAATTAGTGTATCAATTTTTGCCCCAGTGGCATATATAATATTGAATATTTTATGTAGAGGGCCGCCTGGGAAGGCTACTGGGTATTTTCTTAAATTATCTTAAGCTGAACTCAGGGCAATAGGCAGAACCATGCTCTGGGAACATGCTTCCCCAATAAGGCTGGACGTTATCATTTATGATTTCTTAGCAGCCCAGGTGTTAGCAGGGGCAGGTCTAGATACTGTATGTAAATCCAGTCAACATCCAGGAATGCTAGGGCCTACTTAAGAATGCAAATATGCTCCTTTGATCATATAAAATAAACACTCTGCATGAATGGTCATAGACTTCCTGCCTCTCCATCTGAGAGGATGGCCTCATACCCAGCTCCCAGAACTCTATTTCTGCCTCTCAAATCTCTTTCTTTCTTTTGTTCCTCAGTCCCTGGCCACCTCCACTTAGAACCAGTTTGTTCATCTGTTTTCCGTGCTGGACATGGAAAAGGGAGATCCCCAGCATGTCTGGCCCCCGCCCCATCTGGCCCCCACAATTTTATAATAGTAAAGAATTTGCACACATGAAATAGGGAAATTTTATTTAATATTTGTTGAGTACATTCTACATGCCTCAGACAGCTAGGATCTGAAGCTATATGCTTAAGCAAATCAGCACAGGATCTGATTAATTAAGCTGACAATCATATTCTTCTGTGAATTTGACCAGTTTATCAAGATCAAAGTTTTTAAATGACCTGTACTTTTCATTTGATTCTGAAGACACCTTTGTCTAATAGTGACATACTTTTAGAAACATATTAAATCTAGTTTATATCTACTGGTAGCTAATTTCATCCAATTTAATGTTGACCTTATCAATTTCAGTCTCAAAAGATAAAATAGTCATATTTTTATGAAAATAGTCCAGCACACATCAAAATTGAAATCCTGTTCTCCTCTTGGGCAAATCATGTTGGCTATACATACCCACATGAATTATATTACACTAACTTGACATAAAATAAATGTGTTTGCTAGTAGATATTTTTTTAAGTTTGTAAAGAATTTTATTATACAGCTTAGATAGCTATGCATTCCACTAACAAAAAAGCATTTTCCACATCTTACTCAACCTAACAAATTATATATCGATTTGTGATTTTCATCTACATCGCCACAGTGTTACACTACAGTATTACATTTCTTACATTTGTACTTCGGTGCAATATACAGTAGGTACCTCTTCCTCCCAAAAATAAAAATATTCTTAATCTAAATTTAAAACAGAACAAAGACATTAATGCCCACTTGGTAAAAGATCGCAATAAAAGTCAGAACTGGATGCTGCTTAACACAGAGCATGAGACTGCCAGTTTCAGTGAAACCTTGTAGGAATGGTTCAGCATCGGGTTTGTCTTCACTGCAGTTCTCACTGATAGGTGGAACTGTACCATAATGAAGAACAGTCACTTTCTTCACTTGCACAAGAGGTTCAAATATTGGACTCTAACACAGGAAATGTCGCTTGGACTTAGCAATATTCAAACAGATAAAATACATGGCCTTAGGAAAAACTCCACAACTGTTTGACTAAACATTTGAAACATTTACATCACAGCTTCATATATTTAAAAAGTTTCCTTCAGAGATGCTTATTTATGAAATAAAACCTAGTCACTATCATCTGACCCATGTTTTGAACTCGGATCCAAGGTCTCCTTGTTGGATCCTTCTGGTTCTCACTCATTTCCGAAACCTGGGCCAGAACCTTCATTATCAGGTCCTCTGTGCTAATCCCTCTGACTCAGTTTACTTCCTCTGAAGAATCATCACTTGAAGATATGATGGCTCCAGATTTTATTTTTCCCTTCTTTGAAGGAGGCAGGCGGTCTGGCTTGGGCGCCTTCTTCTCTGCTCTTGGTGAGCAGCACTTTTTCGGTTTGGGGCCATTTTCTGTTTCTTCATCATTAGATCCTTCTTCTCCCTTAGTAAGTCTTCTCTTTTTCTTCTTTCTCTCTCCTCCCTCCTCTTCTTCGCTTTCTTGCTCACTATCACTGCCATTGCTTCTCTTCTTTTTGTATACTGGCAGGTCTCCATTTGAGTCATCATTGACAACTTCATCAAACTCTCCCTTCTTAAAACTCCATCCACCACCACTGCCTCTTTTCTTTCCTTTTGCTGTTTTGATCTCTCCAAAAGACATTAGAATATTTTTGGTCTTCTCAACATACTGGGCCCGCTGTTCTGAAAGCTTCTTCTGCTCTTCCTTCTCTCTCAGATGTTTCTCTTCCTGTTCCTTAACAAGTTTCTGCCTCAACAGTTCTTTTGCTTGCTCTTGTTTGGCCCGAAACTTCCTCTGTTCTTCGTCCAGTTTGCGTACCCGGGCCACATGGTGTTGGGCCTGGCTCAGTAAGTCAGAGCACTGCCTGGCTTCTGTGGCAGCAAGGGCCAAATCCAATCTCATTTTATCTCCCTCTTTACTCAAGTAACTGAGGTTTCTGTGTGCAAGCTTCAGCTCTTTCACAGCTTCAAGGACTTCCTTCAGATTTCTCTTCTCATCTGTCAGGACAGAGGCAGCTAACCTTTGCAGGATCAAGGCCACATTAAACATCAGAACTGTATCACTGGGGGCCACATGCATAGCCTTCAGCAAAGTCTGTTTGCATTCCTGCAACTTGCCACACTTGAAGAGGGCCCGGGCCAAATAGAGCATAACGTCAGTGTTATGGTGCTTGTAGAACTTTCTGAGGCAGTTTTTATACATCTGGACAGCACTGCTATATTGTTTCTGTTCCACGTAGATGTGTGCTAGGTTCAGCCACACGTCACTGATATCTGCTGTTGCTTCTCTTACGTGGGCAAATATGTCATGAGCTTCACGGAAATAGCCTTTGTGGGCCAGAACGGCTCCTATTCCATTAGCAGCATACAGGTTCTTTGGGTCATTTCTGAGTACTTGCTTGTAGACGGCCAGAGCACCATCCTGATGGCGCTTTTCTTTTTCTCTGTCTCGAGCGGGCTGGTGCAAAGTTTGGAGCCAGACGTTGCCAAGGGCCAGCATCGAGTATGTGTCCCTCTGTGTAGACGGTTGTGTTAGTACCCTCTCAAACTTCTTCTGGCCAGGACCCCATTCTTGTTTCGCCAAATGAAGATTACCAATCAAAGACCAAGCATCTGGATGGTGCTGGTTAATCTGCAGTGTTTCCTTAAACCAATTGGAAGCCTCGTAAAAGTTTCCCTTATCTCTAGCCATGGCTCCCAGGCGCAGATAGCAGTCCACATAGTTAGGATGGTCCCGTAGGATGTTCTTATACAGCTTTTCTGCTTCCTGGAATTCACACATCGCCTCATACAGTCTGGCTAAGTTGTAGGACGTTGTGACAGAAATGGCATTATAATAATGTTCGTCATGGTCCGCTTCAGCCTTTGCACGACCCAGTGATGCCAAAAGACATTTCCTTGCCTCTTCCAGATTTCCAAGTCTCAGATGGAGGGCACCCACGTTATTTAGAATCTCTGCGGGGACATGGGCCTGTACTTTCTCCTGAAGGATCTGTATTGCTGTTCCGTAGGCTGAGAGGGCACCCTGCATATCAGTCTGTTGTAAGATCTGTGCCAAATCAATCCAAGCTTCAACATCATCAGGACACTGCTCTGTGACCTTCTTCAAATGGCTCTTGGCCATGTCTCGTTTTTCTTCATCTTCTGAGGCAGCATACAGAGAGCCAAGAATTTTCAGAGTTTCATAATTATTAGGATAAGCTTTCCACACTTTCTCAAAGCAGTGACATGCATTTTCTTTGTCACCTCGATAAATATACATTTGTCCCAAGCCAAAAAATGGCAGCACAAAAGAGGATGAGGCAAACTGTGTGGCTTGACAGTAGTACCCGAAAGCTTGGTCATAATCTTCCTGGGCATGGAATGATCTAGCCAGCTGGTAGCAACTTTCTGCTTGCATAGCCTCCACTTCTGTGTATTGGAAAGCATGGAGGGCCAAGTGCTGGACTTTACTGTAATCCCTCTTGAAGAAAAAGTGATTTGCCAAGTGGTTCAATACCATAGGGTTGCTAGGATCGATGGCATAAGCTCTAGAAAGAAGCTGGACACCATTTCTGATGGAATCAGCCTCTTTCTTGTTGAGCTCTAGAACAGCCAGTCCGACCAGTGCTCCCACACATTTGGGATTAAGTTGCAGCGCTCTGCTGAATGCCAGACGAGCTTTCTCCAGTTGGTTAAGTTTCACAAGGCAGTGGCCCATTCCTAAACGAACTTCCGCTGGACATCCTGGGTTAGTAAGCAATGCCTTCTTATAGTAAGCAAGAGCTCCCCTGTAATCCTCCCTGTTGAATGAAATGCAAGCTTTACCAAGGAGGGCTGGAATATTATGTGGAGACTCGCTGAGCACTAAATGAAACTGTGCATTCGCCTGATCCATTTTGTCACCTTCAAGTAGGCAGCAACAGGCTCTTCCCAGTAAATGGTTCTGGTCATACATAATGATTTTGTCGGCCATGGTGTACAACAGGATTGCCTGTGCAATAAGATCTTTCTTGTTGTCTTTATTCTTTTCCTTCCGAGCCTGTTGTACGTAGTAGGCCGCCAATGTATCCAAGCAAGTCATCTGGTCTTTTTCATGGTCTCTGTAGTCCAAAGTGCCATCTATGCGTGCTGCTTCCAACAACTTGACGAACTCTCCTGTTTTTCCTTGTTTGTAGTATTGCAACGCCAAAGCAATCCATAAGTGCAGCTGTGTGCGTTCCTGCTTCAAAATGCTGATCACTTCATCCCCCTGCAGTAGGTGAGGGAAGTCCAGTTCAATGACCTCGTCAGTGTCCCGGAGGGGACTCTCCCTGGAACCCTGCGACATGATGAGATGGAAAGGCGAGTGGGCGCCCGGCCCCGCGGGCCAGCAGCCGGTGCTCCTGGTTCTGCTGGGTCCGGAGTCCACAGTGGTCCTGGGTCTGGTGGTCCCACCTCCGCGCTGCCGTGCCGCTGGAGCCCCGGTTTCTCCTTCCCGCCAGCCGCTTGGACAAGAAGCAGCAGACAGCACCCTGCCTCCTCCTGTCCCAAAGCTGGCAGCAGGGCCTATTGGGTCCCGAAGCTCTCCTCACCGGTGCGTCCTTCCACCAGCCAGCCGCTTCTGGGAATGAGCCACTCAGGGTTCTGGGCCTGAATATATATACGCTCAGGGTGAGCCTCCAGGCCGCCCCGCCCAGCGGAGCGACCAATGAGGAGCAGGTTCGGGGCCCCTCCCCTGACTGACCTGTGCCTCCAGGCTGCACTGTTAATCCAATCCGGAGCTGGGGGCTGGCCTCTGTGGCGTGGGCGTGGCCAATCTCATTTCCCTCCGCAGTAATGAACAAGTCACCTTTGTAACCATTTTAACATAAACGTTACATGGATTCTGTAATCATGCTGATAGTTCATGTATTTTTGTGCTTATTATGTTTTGGTTCTTTGTAGCATATGAGAATAGATTTTGTGACTTTGATAAAACTGTTGAAGAATTTGAATAAACCTGTAATCAATCACAGTTTTGATAAGATTATAAATAAATTTGATCAAATATGTTTTAGTTACCAGTTTAATTAAATTATAGACATTATTACATTAGGCAGTACTCAATGTTTTCAGTAAACCAGAGAAGAATCTCGGGGGTTATTTCTTCGTCTCCCCATTTTGGCTGTCTGTTTGGGTTTGTGACTATGTATTAGATAGATCCTCTGCACTTTCCATCTCTAGTGCAGGACAGTGTTAAACGCTGTTGCTGACTAATCAGATTAGCAAAGACTCAAAGCCTCCAGAGACTGCTGGTACCTACAGACTAATAGGATTCCCACTTGATTGGCCCCAGGCAATCATCCTCACGTGTGGGGACAGATTTTTCCAACAGGGTGGAGCAGTCTGCTTCTGCCTGGAGGCTGATGGTTGTTTTTAGTTTCTTAAGTGGCCTCGGGCAAGGTGATTCCCAACTGGGTAGGTCAACTGTCTTCCACCCAGGCAAGGCAAATGTCTATGTGGGAAAGATGTCCTCTGCTGCATGAGGGAATGACTTAGCACAGGAAACTGGGGGTGTCTGCCTTTCAAGCTCTATCCCTTAGCCCCCCTGTCTGAGGCACTCCTGGCTTCTGCTCACACAGCTCCAGTTCACTCTTGCCTCCCTCTATCAGAGCACAAGGTGGGTGGCTCCACAGGGAATTTTGTGCCTGAATTTCCAGTTGTCTCTCCCTGCATTCAGCAGCCCTGCTGCTTTCCACAGCCAGATGTTAGGTGGTACCCTTCTTAGTTCTGGTGCTCTCTGCTGGAGGCCCAACTTGGGGGTTGGACCCCAGAGTTCTCAGTGGCAATCCCCCACCGCTGAGACATCTCTCAGGAATATTTGTTGCTGTCTGGGCACCTGACCAGCCCTTTCTTGCCTCCACCCTTCCTACCATTCTCATGTGGTCACCACTTTTAGTCCTCAGGTGTCAGGGTTCTCTCCTGCAAGTCTTCTGTTGATTATTCAAGAAAATTTTCTGTATTTAGTTGTAATTCCACTTTGCACCTGGGACCATGTCTGTGCAGCATCCACTTACTCTGCCACCAGTTTTAATCTCCTTGGTAGATATTTTTTTAACTTTATTTTTATTGTTGACACTATCCCAGATGTCCCAATTTCCCCAGCCTTTGTCTACTTCCACTCAGCCCCACCCTGCTGCTGATGGATTTTTTTTAAAAAGAAGGTTTGAATATTTGGATTAGTGCCCAAGAGAGACAAATAATACAAGTGGGGAGAAATCATCTTTGGAAAGGAATGGACCCTTGGAAATAAACAGTTCTGAATTTTGAACGCCATTCTCAAGGAGTATAGAGTAAAAATCACTGTAAGTTTTCTATTGCTGCTGCAACAAATTACCACATATTTAGTGCTTTAAAGAAATGATTCTCTTACAGTACTGAAGGTCAAAAGTCTAAAATCAAGGTGTTTCTGATGCAATATTCCTTCTGGAGGCTCTGGCGAGAATCTTAGTCTTTTCTAGCTTTTGGAGACTGCCAGTTTCTTGACTCCTGATCCCTTCCTCCATTTCAAAGAGCACAACAGCAAACTGAATTCATTGTTTGTTTGTTTGTTTATTATCAAATTTAATGTTGACATCATTGCAGATGTCCCCACCCTTTGACCACCTGCGTCCTCATCCCTTCCCCCATCTTAGCCTTTACCAAACTAATGTCCATGTCCATTGGATATATGTTTATATGATCTTTAACTGATTCTCTTCATCTTCTTTATCCAATCACTCCTTTTCTTCCCCTTGGCCACCGGCCAGTCTGTTCTGTCTGCTTTTATTGTTAATCTCCATTTTGCTTCTGACTCCCCTGTATCTCTCTTGTAAGGATCCCTGTGATCACATTGGATCTACCAAAATTATCTAGAATAATCTCCCCTCTACGGATGTTTAAATCAATCTATAATAATAAAAGCGTAATATACAAATCGACCCAATGGCCATGGGGATGTCCTTCTGGATGACCTTCTGGACAAAGCCAGGGCTGCAGCCGCAGGATCCAGGCAGCTGCTGTGGCTGTGAGGAAGGGATTGAGACAGCCATTGTGGCTGCAAGGGAGTGATCTGAGCAACTGCTGCAGCTGCGAAGGCCTACTCTTGCACTAATTTCATGATCAGACCTCTAGTTATATCTTTAAAAGTCCTTTTGCCACATAAGGTAACACTTTTACAGATACCAGGAATTAGGACATGCATATCATTTGGGGGCCTTTATTCAGCCTACCAAGGTCAGTATAATCAGGAACTCATAACTAACTGGAGAAGACACTTAGATGGTTCATAACTTATTTACTCATATATAACCTGCCTCTTTTATACAAAATAATTCATTGTTTGGATACACAATTGGGCAAGCACCAGTTCTCTGAACTGTGTTTCCTTAACCTGCAAAATGGATCTAATACCTATTCACATAAGGAGTAAATGCCATCATGTATAATGGCCGTTTCTACTCTGTCACACAAATATTGGACATCATGCTAAAAAATGACTCCTCAATGCAAAGGGGATAAATTTAACACTTTTGTTGCAGTAAACTAGCTTTCCATTCTAATCACCTTGAAATTAGTTGAATGAAATTGCATGCTTCTGATACCATTGTAATTAGCTAGTTATTAATAGCAGGAAAGGAGCAAAGGAGAGCCCAGACATTAGGCATGTCATTTGGGCAGCTTCACCAGGAAGCTGCAATTTCACACACCCCCAGGGAACCACCAGCCCATGCCCCTCATATTACTGGAAGAAGGAGTTCAAAGGGGAGTTACACACATGCATAGTGAAGTTGGGGCAACATAGGGAAGGTACTTGCTACCAATCTAGCCTGGGGAACAAGGAGCTGTCCAGAATGGGTAGGGCTACTGCAAGCTCACAAAAATTTTAGAATATGTAATCCAGGAAATAAAGGAGTTCTCGTTCTTGGGGGTCTTGGCTCTCTTGCATTCGTCCACATGGCCATGGCCATGAGGACCCCACTCACAAAGGACTAATGGACTGCAGGCAGGAACACAAACTAAGCCAGCCTAATGCTGAATCGGACAGTCCCAATAGGACACTGGTTCTGATACTATATCGGTTGAAGCTACAGCTATAATTCTATGGTGGAACAGAGGGAAATGGGACCTTGGGAACTTATGGTTTTAATTCCACAGAAAGAAAGCTTTCTACTATATCTTCTCCTCCAAAGCACGTCTCAGAAAAGTCTTTTTCTTAGGATATTACACAATGCCCACTCCCACAAGCAACAGGTGGGGATGTGGACCTCTCCCTACCAGTAACACTTCAGGAGACAAAGAGAAAGTAATATATGCCACTCTACCTAGCATTCCACCCAGTGGGCACATGAGACAGTGACTATGAGATGGATTATTTGAATCTGGTCTTTCTTAGTCGAACTCAGTTTCCTCATGCATTTCATAGCATTGAATATACATAATTTTTCAGATATTTTTGCAATTTTTCATTTACCTGTCTGTTTTTACACCATGAAGCTAATCTGACAAGCTAAAGTCATTACTCAATTTATGACAGTTATATTATTATGCAAATAAACATTTGTTTAAAATGAGTGTTCACCAATAAACTGGTAACATGTTATGAGATCTAGTGGAATAAACAAATTTTATGGTCAGATACATCTAAGCTCAAATCCTGAATTTTTCATTAGCTCCTTCTTTATATATTTTACTTCACCTCTCTAAACTTCAATTTTATCATTTTTAAAATGTAAATTATAACTCGATCCTTTAGATATGGGGATCATTTCAGATTCTTAGTATAGTTTCTGTCATTAAATAATAACTATTATTACTTAAATAAATATGTTCTTGATTTAAATATATTTGGCAAGCAATGTTCTGAATATTAAGCATGAATATTATAGATTAAAAAACAGAATTAATTAAATTTCATCGGATGACTTAGGTTTCTGAAGTATATATATTTAAAGGACCTATGACTCATTACAATTGCTTATTTCTAAGTACATTTTCAGTACTACTAGTATTAGTCAGGCTATTTACGCTCTCATACATGCTTACATACACAAACACTAAAGTACCTTCAGTAACGTTGTTTACAAAAATACAAAGAAATACTACGGTAGTATCACAGTTAGGCTTAGCAGCCCCTCAGTCATCCCATGTTCCCGGTCTTCCGAGAGCTGAAAAGTAATAGACTTTACAGGTAAGTGGCTTAATGTCCCCCTTTTCAACAACTGTGGTTTGATTGACTTAATTGCTCTACTTTCACCAAACACTTAATTTGGTAATCTTGTCAAACCACCACAGTAGTGCCTGGGTTCCCATTTCCTGAGTCATTTTATT